CTCGGCAAAGAAAGAGGCTCTACCTACCGGGCATGTCTACTAGAGGTGAGTATCTTTTGCCGCAGCCTTCATAACGATGAATACAGAGGGGAAAGGTCTCTTAATTTTAGGGGAGGGGGAGGGGGGTCTTGGTTCAGGTATGGATGCGATGGAGAGGAGGGTCCATTTGCGTCGTCTCGGGATGATCAGGCTGTGATAATGAGAGCATTATTCTAAGTAGGTTACACCGGAGCATAGCAGAAACTACAGCTTCCACTGCTGCAGCCTTTTCTAGACAGCCTACAACTTCATTTATTGGTAGAACACTCTACAGTCTGGTGCAGTCTATAAGCTACATAAACACACTTTTTAAAAAATTCCAGCTGTGATAATGAACCTCCCTTGATTGCTGTTTCTTTAATCAGTCATGGTGCATATGGCCTAGCTAAAAGCTGCACATATCATTAGTTAAAAACTGTTGGTGTAGGACTGGGTGCATATGATGTGCATTTTTAATTTACTACAATGGAGTTATGAAATTTGAGAATTAATTCTGTCAAGGCTGTAGCTAGTGAAGTAAAGAAAAGTGCAAACTATCATTTGGTGTATTAATCTGTGTTTCAATCTGTCTGAAGTGAGAATATGTTTTCATATCCTGCTGAGCATTAAACATAACACCTGCAAACCTGTGCAGGTGTTTGGTTCAGTCAGGTGAGTCTTTGTGCTCTCTGTTGTGTCAGGTGACTGTTCTTTGGCAGAAGAGATAAAAAAAACCCTCCAGCCATTCTTGCTATAGGTTCTGATCAAATGGCCTGAAGCAGAGAAGTTTACAATCTTAACACAGTGTTAAATCTGCAGTTGGATTAGTCATGATAGGTCTGATGCTGCTATTGACTAAAACAACCTTTTATCAAGAAGCCGTGTGTCATTCTCCTTCAGGCTCTGTATGGTCGAGCCTGTGTAGCTGGATGGCTTTGAACTCCAGATGTGACCTGCGGTATCTGTCCTCCATGGCCGCTGGTGGAGATTGATGGAGCTCAGGGCTCACCACTTGACAGCACCCCTGTGGTACATAGATCTGATTAGCACGCTTAAGCCCCTGCACAGACAGTCATTATTAATGAGAACTAATTACCCTGCACTCTGCAGCTGTACTATAGTGAAGTGCCAGTTATCTCTATGCTGCTTAGATGAATGTGAGGCTATTACTTGATTATCTCAACTAAATCAGACACTCAGGCACACTGACACAAACAGAATGTCAAATCAAACACGTGTTGGTCATGGCCTCAGTTTTCTAGTCCAAGTTTCTCAGTTGCTGATCAGCCCAAGACACATTTGTGATGGGTGTTTTTATTTTATTTTATTTTTAATGTTCTGGTGTTTTATGGCAGAAACAGAAAATCACAACTTGTAGCCCTAATGTGGATTATTGAAATTAATGCACATTATACATTTTTATGCTTAAGGTGTCAATATAGAGCGCTTTTAAATTGCTGAACATAGTTTCTGACCTCTGTAATATGAATATTCTAAAGGAGTCTCTATTCACCAGCAAGGAACAGGCATAGATGGAAGGCAATAACATTTATTGGTATGATGCAAAATTTAAAGGATCGATGTGGGATGCAGCCGATTGAAGGGGTGGCAGATATAGACGTGGACGTTAAGTAGTGCATTAGAGGCGTGGTCCTGCTCCTGAACTTCAGATGGATAATGTTTTATTAGAAAAATACTGGGGCAGCATGGTGACACAATGGTTAGTGCTATTACTTCACAGCAAGAAGGTTCTGGGTTCGAGGCCTGGCCAGTCCGGTGCCTTTCTGTGTGGAGTTTGTATGCTCTCCCTATACTTGTGTGGGTTCTCTCCAGGTGCTCTGGCTTGCCAGTCTATCACAGGGCTGACACTTAGAGACAGACTACCACACTCACCACCACTGGCAATTTAGAGTCACCAGTCAACCTAAGCTGCATGTCTTTGGACTGTGACTCTGTCTGTCTCTAAGTGTCAGCCCTGTGATAGACTGGCAACCTAGATAATGGATGGATAAAAAATATTGGTTCTTTCCTCTGTACACTTACATTGACCTGCCCCTCCCTCAGTTGTTCAATGAACTCTCCGTCTTGCAGTCGCCCAGCCCCCACCCCTGTGAGCACCCGGCCATTGGCTTTTACCTTGGTAGTGTTGCTCTTCCATTAGTCACCTACACCCTTGCAGTCATACTACTGTTATGGGCCTTTCAGTGTCGTGATATTTCATGTGCTGTTTTCTTTTGTCCAGAACGATGATTTTATAAAATGTTTATAATCCTGTGGATGTCTACAGAGAGCATACTATATTTTATTTCAAGCTGTGCGGTCACTTTCATTTCTGTGGGCTGCTCAGTGAGTTTGCCGCTGATGTCAGCATGCAGCTCCATCAGAGGGGTTAAGCGCATTGTTCAAGCTCAGCCCAGTAGTGGCAGGTTTTTCCATCTCTTGGTTCATGGGAATTCACTCACCACCGCAACCACAGTTACCATTAAAGATGATTTTCCTCATTCATTTTTATAGTTGCCTGTTTTACTACCATTGCTGGTTTACCCTTTTGATGGGCTATTCATACTGTATGTGGGCAAGTTTATTGTTGGTCCACTGAAGACTTTCATCTCTGTTCCACTGGCAGCAGGGTTCTGACATATGTGGGTTAGAATTGTTCCATCAGTTTTCTGCTCCTTGTGGGCTGTTCATGAAGTTGGCATGCCATATTGTATGTTCAGTTTCAGTTACAGTATAACATTTTCAGCTGAATCTAAACAACATGAATCAGTTTACCACAAGTTTGATATTTAGACCAATGAAATGTTTCATTTTCTGAAAACATTTTTACAGTATGTCAAATTACTGTGTGACTTATTTTTGTGTACCTGCCACCTATTATGATGAGTGCAAGTCATTAGCGTGAATGCAAGTCTTAAAAAGTTGTCAGCCTAGCTTGGTTTTATATGCCATGCTGCCCTGTTTAATTTCCATCTTTAACAGACCAGACCATCGATCTGACATTCAGTGCTCATCTCCAAAAGTAGTCACTGCATTTGGATGTCTGGATAGCTTTAAGTGACTAGCAGCAAAGAAAGTCCTCCCCCGGACACCTGGTACAGCTCCAGTTGTGCTTTGCTTTGACTTCCTTTTCCACCCCACCCTTCTCTGAGCTGAGTTAGCACATCCTGCACATCGTACCTGTTACACTGCAGTTTAATCTGGATGATCAATGGTGGATGAAAAAAAGGAGGCATGGTTCAGTTCTACGGTAAACCAATGTGATTACCCTTCCTTATCTGACCACTGGAGAGGGCTGCTCATTCTCAAGCATTACAACCCTCTGCATTAGCACTTTTATCTTTTTTTGTGTGTGTGAATACTGTTTGTGCAGAAATGAAGGTTGGAGTGCGTGCGCATACATGTGTCCTGGTAAAACCTGAATAATTGATGAGCAGGGAAGGAGTGAAAGCGTTACCAGACAGAACCGTGTGTGTGGGAGTGTGTAAAGATGGGGGAAAGGAACACAGTGAAGCAGCAGCCTGGCTACGATGGGCTCTGCAACTACGCCCAGAAAATCACCTCCTGCTTCGGGCTAGATGGTAAGACAGGGGAAAACAAAGCAAGAAGGGTTGTTTCTTTAGGTTGCAGAAACAGAAGAGGATGTACAGATGTTTTTCAGAGTATTTTTGTGTGATGCAGATGATTTTTTTGTGTGTAGGGGCAGCAGTGTTGTTTCCAGAGCATGTTATGTGTTGATCTGTGAGTGTGTGGATAGTTGGTTCAAAGCTACCACAGAGTGGATGACAGTTGGAGGGCAGTGCCTCACTGCAGCAGAGTTTAGCATGTCCTTAGCTACTCTCAGGTCCATGTGTGAGTGTACGAGTGTGTCTTTTTGCATATGCCTCATTATCACACTCATCTTTTTTTTCTGGCATAAAACTCTAGTTTTCTGAATGGGAGGTCAAAGGCATGCTTGTAAGGGAAACCTAAATTAAGACAAATTAGTTAGCTCTGTATTGATATAAACAGTAATAAACACATCCAAGCCATAATATCTGTGTGCGCCCTTTTGAGACGAGAAAAAAGTCACTAAATCCAAAGCGCAGGCCAAGACCAGCATCTCCAGCCTAAAAAGATGTTTTATGCTTTGTCATTGTCTGCTGTGTTTTTAATTGTGTCTGTGCACCTCAATGTTTTATTTCATCTTGTGAGAGAAAGTTGATAGCTGAGATTAGCCTTATCTGGTTAACAAGCATTCAATGTCACAGAGGGCTTCTATGTTTTCATGCTTTTATTTCTAAATTGTATTTAAGTGGCGGTGGTATCTCAGAAGTGTTTTTTTTCTTTGCACAAAATCAGAATGTTTTCAGTTGGTTTAAAATCTGTCCCAGCACTGTGAAGTTATCTTCACAGTTTGCTTAGAATCTCCTTCTGCACCATGTATCTTTTCGCCTCCCACCATGACATGTTGATAATTCCTCTACATCATGCTGAAGGTGAATTTTGTAAAAGTTAAATAGCAGGATGTTGTTTATGTGGCTTGTCAAGAAAACATTCAGGAAGTCTTTGCAGAAAAATCCATCTCCATATTTTGAAGATGAAAAACTCAGAACATGCTTTCCTACAAAGTTATTTCTTCCAGAATTTTTTTGATTTACTCAGTCATTTCACCATATAATGGAGAGCCACTGCTGGCATTTCCACTCCAGTGCTGATGTAGTTATAGTATCTTTCATTCTGAAGGACCCTGGGTTATGCATTGTTGGCTGCAGGAATGACCCTGCTGGTAGTTGACCTTGGAGGAGACTGGCAGACTTCCAAGGCAATCTGCCCTGAGAGTATGTCTTGGATCACTGTGATGCTGAAGCATACACTGATATGCATTTATCTGGTCTCACTGCACCTGAACCCACTTAATGTACATTCACATAAAAACACACATTATGAACATAATGAAACCTAGATGCATCTAAAATGCATTGCTAGGGAGACTCTGGTTGTTTAATGTCACTTCTATTAATGTAAATTTGAACTGAAAATAAGGTCTGGCAGAATATCAGCTCTTCACTGGACAGATGTGACCA